CTGTAACAAATAAGAAATGACGCGTTTCTCAGGCGAGCAAAGGTAAGCGCGAAGTGGGCGTGGAATTGCCTCGTACCCATGCTGGCGCTACTTACTTTCGACGGTAGTCGCGGCACAAGAGTCATGGAAAAGTTTCAAAGACGAAAAGGCACAGGAAAAGACCCAACGTGAAGATTGAAGCAGCGCTTCCCTCCCTTGCTGAGCCGATCAAATTGCTTCTTCCATCAGCTGCGTATTTGCTGTCCTCTTTGTCCCAATCATATTGCTCCTTCCTTCAGCAATGTATTTGGCGTCCCTTGCTAAACCAATAAAATTGTTTCTTCCTTCAGCTTTGTATTTGGTGTCGCTTGCTGAGCCAATCAAACTATTTATCCTGTCAGCTGTGTTTTGGCGTCCCTTGCTAAGCCAATAAAATTGCTTCTCCCTTCAGCTTTGTATTTGCTGTCTTCCTTGAACCAATCAAATTCCTTCCTCCTTCACCTGTGTATTTGGCGTCCCTTGCTGAGCCAATCAAATTACTTCTTTCTTCAGCTTTGTATTTGGCGTCCCTTGCTCGGCCAATCAACTTACTTCGTCCATCAGCTGTGTATTTGCAATCCTCTTTGAGCCAATCAAATCAGTTGCTTCTTCTCTCAACTGTGTATTTGGCGCCCCTTTCTGAGCCAATCAACTTCGCAAGCGGCCATCGGCACGCACAGAAAATTTTTAACACTGTCCTTTTCACCATTCGCCTGATTTCGCGTATTCGCCAACAGTAAAGTACCGGATTGAGTGAAGAATTTATATAAACCAAAGTTGATCCCAAGAATTGAACAATCATTGTTGGTCTTTCCGGCCCCTGTATTTGGAGTGCAATCATAACGCTAAATACGGGCAGAGAACAGAAGATAAATGCAATATAAATATAAAGCATGGTGTAGATTGAGCTTTTGTACTTGACCAAATTGAAATTGTTCTTTCTCACACGTGCACTTTGCCTTTGGCCGGAGTTGTTCAGGCTTCGAAGAGAGATCATGCCTCTCACAGTTTGGTCTTGACGTCTGAGCGTTAAATAAATCTTTAAGTAACAAGCCGTGATGACGAACATGCAAACTCCTAAACCAATGTTCGCCATGATGTTGAAAATGCGATGATCGTAAATGATGAGACATGTTTCGGCCAAACTCGTTATCCAGATAAAAACAAGGACTTTCAAAACTCTCTTCCTTGTGACCAGTCTACGGTAGCTTGCTACGTGTAAGGCAAGAAAGCGATCTATGGCTATGACTGTTTGGAAGGCGATTGAGATGACTGGAAAGTACCAGATACCAAGGTAAAACAAAGCTCTTATGATTCGAGACACCTCAGTGTATCCGCTCATAGCCGTTAAAACAGCTAAAATATAAGGCAGTTGTACTAACAACCCAACTGAAAGGTCTGCAAGTGCCAGGTTGAAAATAAATGCCTTGAAAACCATGTGTACGTGTCTTGCACGTATCTTTCGGAGAGCTACAATAATTAGCGTGTTTCCGAAGACTGATGTGATAGAGAAGACGACATTTAAGGTTACATCCAACACGTACAAAGCGAATGGAATTTCAGGGTCCAGAAGGCGCCCTTGAAGAACAACGCTAAAATTTTCGGCCATCGTAGATCTGGGAGATGCAAAATTTTAGTATGGCTCCTTTTTAATTGAGGGTAAAAAATGCGACTTGATCTGTGAGTCCAAGTAATTTATGGACGTCAAGTCAATTGAAAGAGCTGTCGTGTTATCCTATGCCTAATGGGTCTTTTTGGTTTCAATATCACAATCGGTTCTGCCGTAAAACATATCCTGACGTTAGTAATAAAATCTTGTCATAATAGCAAAATAATCTGTCATAGATTCTTCAAAGATATTCGAATTCAAATGTCTTATCTAACATTTCATTAAAAATTAGTGATAAAAAAAACCAAGAAAACATTGGGAGACAGAGCTTTCCAGATAGCTGCTCCTTTCCTATGGAATAAGCAGCCAAGGTCCGCGCGCGAAGCAACGAACTTAGAATTTTTTAAGACTTTAATTAAGGCATTTTTATTTAAGGAAACATTTCAGTTATCTTAGTATATCTATATCTTTATTTGTAATTATCTTTTACTCATTTAATGTAAATATTTTTTATGATTTTGTTAGAAGGATTCGTAAAATTTAGTTATTAATTACTATTGTGATGCGCTTTTGAATATTTTATAGAAAAGGCGCAATACAAATATTAAATGTTATTGTTGTTATTGATATAAGTAATTTCATGTGGTCGACGAAGCTTAAAGGCTTAGAGCAGTTTATATTAGTCAGTTGGAACGGATTTAAATAATGATGTAATTTTAAAAATACTTTAATTAATATATGTTAAAGAAATAGAGAACAACCCTTTTGCGCTGATTATTAAGTTTTGCAAGGCCTTAGAAATTTTTAAGGAACCGTCCATTGTAATCTTACAGCAATAAGATTCTTTTCTTATTCGTTTTATAAAATGACCCATGATCTGCGCACTCATAACGATCACGTATACGCATGCATTATATCTCGATTAAACTGCATGAAGAAGTGCGTACTCTATGACTAAGCAAGCATTCTGGCTGAATGGAGGCGTCCGTATTTCTTAGGACGTTGAAAACCAAAAACTTCAAAAAAGACGGAAAATTTCATTGCCGGATAAGATTACGTTTTTACCTGACAATGACGAGCAAAATTCTATTGCGATTGTATCACTGCCAGATAAGGCCCAGTCAGAGTCTATGTACACATTGAAATTCTGTACCCAATTAACGAAATTGTACCCCGGATCCTACAACAAAATTTGCCTTTTTTACTCTTAGATCATGAGTCTTTAAAATGGCATGTTCCAGTTTTTCTTTTTTATTCGCAACCCCTTATATGCTTTTGGATTTGACGTAAACCTTAACTAAACGCGTCCAAAGAATGGAGATGGGAAGTTAAATATCTCCAATGTGATGTAAGTTTGCTTGTTCAATGAAGGCTTCGATGTCTGGTTTACTCATGTCCCATAGAAGAAAGATATTGTGTATGTGGCATTTCCAAACTGTTGTTCTTAAGAGAGTTTTGCTTAGAGTTGTTGTTTCAATATATGTCATGAAAATATTGGCAAAGGAATTAAAACTGCTGTCTTTGTGCCCATTGCAGTTCCATGGTTTTGTAGGTAGTGCTTTCCATTGAAGTGGAAGAAATTTTCTTTGAGGATTAATCTAAGCATTTCCGGCAAGTAATGTGTAGGAATGGGTTGTCTTTGTAGAAATTCTCATATGCTTTGTGACAGACAATTTCAATATACCCTCGTTTTGCTGTATATTTGTGTCAAGACTCATAAAGTCCATCGACACAAGAAATGTCCGGTTTTTCACATTTGTCTTTTCAGTAAAAGGTATGATTTCTGTGATTTTGATATTGGTTGTAGCAGTGTATGAACAAATTTTGTCAACCACAGAACAAGGTTTTATTGGATTATTAAGAGGAAACCAAACATCCATGTTTTAACTAGGGGGTGGGTCATGCAATTTCCAACCTTGCTTTAGGGGTGGGTCAGTGATTTTTGTGCCGAAGGGAGGGGGTGGGTCATGTGTTTTTTGTCAACCACATGTCCAAATGCTCCGACCCCCCCCCCCCCAATACTTTTTGCCCAGTCCGTGGGTATCCGCAACAGCTCAAAGCGAATAACTGCGGTCTCGTATTATTTTTTCATTGCCGAAAGGCGCCGGTAATATTTTTTATCGCCAAAAGCAAGCCAGTGGTGTGGGTTCTTTTACGTCCCAAAGGAACCAGATCAGAGAAAGTGCTGTGAGACGGGACCCTAGGTTTTTCGTCCTTAGTATCCGAGAAAACTAGTTAGTCTGACCGTTTCCAGATGTCATCAAGAAGGCAGCACTTTCTTCTCAGGCATTTAAGCATTTTGGTCCGGCCGGGGTTTGAACCTGCGACCCCCCGCTCAGCAGACCAACCCTCTCCCAACCCAGCTAACCAGGTGGCAGTTGGGAGCCAGGAACCTCATGGAGTTCCCTCGTGCATACTTCAAGATTATCTTCGCACACCTTTCAACTTTGCTGGAATTGGCACAGTTTTAGAGTGATCCTCCCTCACACTGGCAGTTATGAACTTGTCATCTTGTTACCGAGTGTTTTGATGTCAATTCGTTGTTATTCGTTTTCAGGATGGCGAACTCCTGTTAACTTCGTCATCACCCGCTCTTCCTCCCTCTGCCTTATGGACTGTAACCAATCAGAACTCGACGCGTTTCTCAGGCGAGCAAAGGTAAGCGCGAAGTGGGCGTGGATTTGCCTCGTACCCATGCTGGCGCTACTTACTTTCGACGGTAGTCGCGGCACAAGAGTCATGGGAAAGTTTCAAAGACGAAAAGGCACAGGAAAAGACCCAACGTGAAGATTGAAGCAGCGCTTCCCTCCCTTGCTGAGCCAATCAAATTGCTTCTTCCATCAGCTGCGTATTTGCTGTCCTCTTTGACCCAATCATATTGCTCCTTCCTTCAGCAATGTATTTGGCGTCCCTTGCTAAACCAATAAAATTGTTTCTTCCTTCAGCTGTGTATTTGGCGTCCCTTGCTGAGCCAATCAAATTACTTCTTCCTTCAGCTTTGTATTTGGCATCCCTTGCTCGGCCAATCAAATTACTTCTTCCATCAGCTGTGTATTTGCAATCCTCTTTGAGCCAATCAAATCAGTTGCTTCTTCTCTCAACTGTCTATTTGGCGCCCCTTTCTAAGCCAATCGACTTCGCAAGCGGCCATCGCCACGCACAGAAATTTTTAACACTGTCCTTTCACCATTCGCCTGATTTCGCGTATTCGCCAACAGTAAAGTACCGGATTGAGTGATGAATTGATATAAACCAAAGTTGATCCCAAGAATTGAACAATTATTGTTGGTCTTTCCGGCCCCTGTATTTGGAGTGCAATCATAACGCTAAATACGGGCAGAGAACAGAAGATAAATGCAATATAAATATAAAACATGGTATAGATTGAGCGTTTGTACTTGACCAAATTGAAATTGTTCTTTCTGACACGTGCACTTTGCCTTTGGCCGGAGTTGTTCAGGCTTCGAAGAGAGATCATGCCTCTCACAGTTTCGTCTTGACGTCTGAGCTTTAAATAAATCTTTAAGTAACAAGCCGTGATGACGAACATGCAAAATCCTAAACCAATGTTCACCATGATGTTGAAAATGCGATGATCGTAAATGATGAGACATGTTTCGGCCAATCTCGTTATCCAGATAAAAACAAGGACTTTCAAAACTCTCTTCCTTGTGACTAGTCTACGGTAGCTTGCTAAATGTAAGGCAAGGAAGCGATCTATGGCAATGGCTGTTTGGAAGGCGACTGAGATTACTGGAAAGTACCATGTAACAAGATGGAACAGGGCGCCTATGATTCGAGACACCTCAGCGTATCCGCTCATAGCCGTTAAAACAGCTAAAATATAAGGCACTTGCACTAACCACCCAACTGAAAGGTCTGCAAGTGCCAGGTTGAAAAGAAATGCCTTGAAAACCATGTGTACGTGTGTTCCACGTATCTTTCGAAGAGCTACAATAATAAGCGTGTTTCCGAAGATTGTTACGATAGAGGAGACGGCATTTAAGGTTATATCCAACACGTACAAACCGAATGGAATTTCAGGGTCCAGAAGGCGCCCTTGAAGAACAACGCTAAAATTTTCGGCCATAGTAGATCTGGGAGATGCAAACTTTAGTGTAGATCCTTTTCAAATCAGGGTATATACGACGTGATCTGTGACTCCAAGTAATTTATGCACGTTAAATTAACACCTGTCGCGTTATACTATACCTAAAGTTCTTTTTTTGGTATCAATATCACAATCGGTTCTGCCACAGTACATGTACGTTAGTAATAAAATCTTATCATAATAACAGGATAATCTGTGATAGATTCTTTAAAGATAATCGAATTCAAATGACAGATGTCGTATCTAACATTTCGTTAAAAATCATTGATATAAATAATTTCATTTGGTCGACAAAGCTTTAACGCTTAGGGCAATTTATATTTATAAAAGTCTGTTTGAACGGATTTAAATATTGATGTAATTTTGTTTACATACTTTCATATATACAGAAACAAATAAAAAATAACGTGGTGTCATCTTGACGCCATTTTCAAGTTTAATATATCTTAAAGAAATAGAGAACAAGCCTTTTGCGCTAATTATTAGTTTTGTAAGCCCTTAGAAATTTTCAAGGAAGCGTCCATTGTGATTGTACAGCAACAAGATTGTTTTCTTATTTGTTTTTTAAAATGACCAATGATTTGCGCACTCAAAATGATCACGTACACGCGTGCATCTCGATTAAACTGAATAAAGAAGTGTGTACTCTATGAATAAACAAGCGTTCTTGCTGAATGGTGGCGCCCGTATTTTTTGGGACATTGAAAACCAAAAAATAGCAAAAGAGACAGAAAATTTCACGATAAGATCACGTTTTTACCTGACAATGAAGTGCAGAATTCTATTGCGATTGTACCACTGCCAGGTTAGGCCCAATCAGAGTCTGTGTACACATTAATGGAGCCGAAATGGAGCCAATTGTGGAATTGCACGCATTTTAGGCATCCTACTGATGAACAGTTGCGACACGTAGATATATATTTTTTAGCAACTAAGATAATTTGCAGTCTGTCTACTTTGAATTGAAACTCTGTGAAGGTGTATTGGACTGATGTTTTGACACCTCCTACATTATCAAGGGCCACAATTGCCTACAAAAGTAAAAACATTACTACGTGAACTAATGGAATTTATGGCTACCCAATTATCGAAATTGTACCCCGGATCCTACAACAAAATTTGCCTTTTTTACTCTTAGATCATGAGTCTTTAAAATGGCATGTTCCAGTTTTCTTTTTTATTCGCAACCCCTTATATGCTTTTGGATTTGACGTAAACCTTAACTAAACGCGTCCAAAGAATAGAGATAGGAAGTTAGATATCTCCAATTCAATTGGAGAAATGTCCCATTTCTGCTCAAAAACTTGGGACGTCTGACAAAAAAAATCCACCCCCCGCTCTCTACTCTGTAAAGTGCGAAAATGAAAAGGAAAGCCCCCTTCTCGTCTCGGTCGTTCACATTTTTTATCTTTGATCATACTAGTCGGGGGGATACTTCCTTACAAGAGGCTAATGTAGATGTGCCGCTGGATGGCTTCGCATCTTCACGACTGGAATAACTATCAATCAATCAATCAATCAATCAATCAATCAACTTTATTTAAACACGGTAAATGGCTCACCAAGCTGGTTTTCAGACATGCCGTGTGATAATTACAATTTATAAAAATTAAGACTAGTGATTAACTAACAATACAATATAACAGCAAGAAATGCGTATTAGAAATAAGATAAAACATAATAAAAGTTATATCCTAAGATATGGCGAGTTTAAAGCTAGTACTATGATGGGGTCCCATATTTCCGGACTTTTTGGGGTTAAGACAGTTCTTATTTACGGTTAGTAAACGTACCAGCATGTTTGTACTGTAGGTGAAAAATAGGTCAATTCATGTTTTAGGATGACGTATCTAAGGATTGACAAGGTAGAAGGCCCGGGGGGGGGGGACTCCCATATGAAACAGACGGGGATGCTCGTCGTCTCGCTTAGGGGTGTAAATTTTGGATTTCGGTCTCGCTTAGGGTGTTCCGGGCAAAGCGCCAATATTTTAAGCGTCCAAGGTCTCGTTTAGGGTTCCGGGAAGAACTTGAGATTTATGACGATGCTTTTAAAAACTACTATTAGATAAAAGCATTCGATGATCATGTCTTTATATCATTAAAACTCATTGCATGTCGTATTTGTGTGTTTTTAAGAGGTCTCTTTTAGGGGTCAAAATTTGCTTAAGCCACGCCCAGATTGGTCTCCGTTAGGGGTCACTAAAAGCTTGAGTCACGCCCAGATGGTCTCCTTTAGGGGTTAAATTCAAAATTTCCGACGAGCATCCCCGTCTGTTTCATATGGGAGTCCCCCCCCCCGGGGTAGAAGGTGACTAAGTTGAGAATGCGAAAATTACATATTTGCCCAACAGGGACTAAGATGGGGTCTATAATTGGCCACAGGATAGACCATAATTGGGGAGGAGATCTGAGAGGCCAGCGGCGCATACCCAGCAAAATTAACTCAAGTACCCCGCCCCCTTGGGACACTGGTATCCATAGACGGTTGAATATCACCGTTTTTCATTAAAGCCTCCATGCATCAATGTGGGAACGTCTTGACTTAAATATAACAAGGACAATTGCAGAAGTGTTGGACAGTGCCGGTGGTCCAAACCAGTTCCCAACAAGACGTCCGCGTGGAGAAAATATTCAGAAAACTTCTCGAAAAGCCTCCACCCTAACAGGATTTTTTTGACCGCAAGGGTGAGTATAAATTGAAATCATCTGAAACCCTAGGGTTCCCAAGGGTGTTTCCTCAAAAAAAAAAAAAATAACAGAACACAGAGGCTTAACTTTGAACCAAGTGACTTTTATTTCAGCTCTTTTGCTTACAGTTACTTGAATATTTTGTACTTTAAGTTACTCTACGAAACTATGTTACTCTTCATGCTTGGTATCCGCAACAGCTCAAAGCGAATGACTGCGGTCTCGTATGATTTTTTCATCGCCGAAAAGCGCTCGTAATATTTTTTTATCGCCAAAAGCAAGCCATTAAAAGTCGAGAGATCACGGATTTCACGTCAAGTTTCTCCTCACTCTACCCGCAAAGGTTTCTGCACCCACTGCGGCATACTGGTGCGCAAATAACATTGCAGAGCAGGCCGGTGCAAACAGTGTTGCATGCAGTTGTACAAATCAACAAACCGCAGACAGCTCGACACAACCATCCACGTTTTACTCCTAAAGAGAGGGAAACAATACAGCAATGTTAAATGAGTATTGAAGTGATGGGTTGAAAACGTTATGCGTAAGTTAACACTATTGCGTCATCTGCTATTTTGAGAGTCGCCTTTTTTTTAAAGAACCCGCAAAAGCGATGCAATTAAGTAAAATTTCAGTGCGTATTATCAACCAAAACACAAAATAAAAGGATTGTTATTCGACTAAAATTCCTTTTATTAAAGCTTGAAACCAGTACACTTTTGTGTCTTACATTTGCGAGTTCTCCTTTTAGTATAAGCCAGGGACCTCTCCCATTTTTAAGATATATATGTGCCGAGTAAGGTAAGGATTTCAAGGTGCTTAACCCTTAAAGAGGCTGTCACGAGGATATTGCTGTTTTGAGTCAATTATCTGTTGTTATTATTCCACTATTATGTCATTTTACCATATAAGGTCAAGAGAACGCTCAAAATGAGAGGCCGTAATACACTGTAGTGTCCTAGTTTAACTTTGCACGTGCATCACGCTTTTTTGTACATTTCTTAGCCGTCGTTGCACGATTCCTAATTTCACGCGCCCGCTTCATGAAGTAGGTGGACACAACACAAAAATTTCCTTTTCCGTTTTTAAACTGTGATTTGGTCCTTCCGGACTCAACCCCCGAAGATGTTGCCAACATTTGACAAATTAAATGAAAAAAATTGAAACAGTGGGAATTCACTTTTTAAGCGACGTTTTCGGTTTGTTGTCATCCAGAAATTTTGCTACCTCCTTTGCTCCGAGAGGATTTTTCCGGTTCCCCTCTCCTCAAAAACCAACATTTCCAAATTCCAATTCGACCAGAAATCAGGTAGACGAAGAACCACTTTGTGGATGGGCTACCTCCAAATCATTATTTATTTATTTATTTATTTTATTTAACCACCTCTCCTCTCCATTTAATAAAGTGTAATTTACTAGTGTAGCTCTTGTTTTTAGACACTAAAACAATGGGCACACTTGTAAATTACATTTGTCAAAGTTTTATTAAATTAGCCCCTGAATAGGAATAGGAATGGGAACTTGCACACTAAAAAAATTTGCTTCGATAATTTTTCAGGCCACCTCCCCTCCCCCGTTATTTTTATTGCTCCGTCCCTTATGGTATCAATTCTAGTCATTGACCTGATCGGTTAATCAAGTCGCAATGCTATTGGTTGTCTGTCATTTAAGACATGATGTTATCACCTTTGAAGACTCTAAACGCCATCGGTACGTTTCGTTCTACCTCTTGTCATTGTAATATCTGTCGCTGTATAATTATTATACAACTCACTCTGACTGTGATACTTACGCTTTGCAGGGACTCGCCCCACACCAGTTTCTCCGTTCAAGTCGTTCGGGTTCACTTCTCCTTCAGTCACCTCGTAAATTGGGAGTTTTGCACACAGATTGGCCATTTCATCACTCAGATCAGAACGGTCGTCAATGGTCGAAACAACTTTTAATTTCACTTCGGTTCGAGGAACTACCTTCAAACCATTGCGAGTTACCTGTTCAAAATGATGAGCATTTGTTTTGTCATCGCAAGTTCCGTTCTAAATTTATTTACATCAGTATGAAAAAGAAACTTAGAGGAAAAAGTACACTCCCGCTTCCCGCGGGAAGCGGGAGATAAATAGAAAACAAAAACTAAAACTCTATAAAATTATAAAATAGCTCAGTACGCTTGTAAACTACACGTATACAAGTTTTTTCGGATTGAACTTTGTTTGTGTTTTGGTCAGATTAACCAATGATCAACAGTTGTTTTGAAGGTTACAACATGAAATGGTCAAAATAACCTAACTGATCCACAGTAATGTAGTTCTTGAATTACTGCAAAATTACCTGCTCTTCAGTCATTTAATGTAACAGAAGACGATCTGAGACTTTCTTTGATAATTTATATATCCGTTTTCTGTTATTATAGACGGTGCACAACTGAACTAGCTCACTTACTTGTACTAAAAGTTGCTTCAAGTCGGAAGGCTTGAGGGCACCTAGAGTTGATTTTCCCAGAAAGCACGCTTTTGCTTCAGTCACTCGGAACATGGTTAAATTCTGCAATAAATTTCAGAAAAATAACAGAAACATTTCTTCTGTTAGTTAGCAACTAACCGTGGTAAAACCCGCCATACATAACTTTCAATGATAGCCAAAACTAAAACTTAAGGCAATGATGTCCAGGGGGGTTACTAAGCAACGTTTTTTACAGAGAAGCTCCGCCCCTAAGTCTAACTCCTTAATTTTTTTATGAACCAGTTTTGACAGATAATACCTATACATTCCATTGAAAAATGTTACCCCTATATATTCTAAATTCTTAGAATGAAACGATATTACAAAAAACTAAAATGATACAGCCATTAAGTGCGTTTGCTCGAACTGTTCCTATGTAAGGCACTTTAAAATACCCAAATGACAGATTTCGCAACCATTTCGTATACCGAAACTCATGAAATACCTATCATTTTGCATGCCTGAAATCTGAAAAAGGGTCCCCTTTTGGGCAAATGCTCCCCGTATAGGCCATTCTAGAGAGTAAACCCCTCCCTCCCACCCCCCGCCCCCGATGGTATCATAATGACTGTATTGCACCAGCCACGATTGAAAACATGCATTGATGAAAATAGAAGTACATATAAACTCGGTTACGCCAAACTCGTGCGCATTTACCTTGGAACACTTAGTTACACTCAGCGACTGTTGTTTAAAAGAAGTGCAACTAAGGCCGCGGTTTAAAGGGGCTATGTAGTGAGGATATTACTGTTTTAGGTCAGTTCTGTGCTGAGGTCGTGAATTAGTACCTTTACCGATACACAAAATTCTCCTGTAGAGTTAAGAAGAAGATATCAAATGAATTTCATCAGGGAGCACCAGCCATTTATAATAACTTTTTGGTGATTTTTACAAGCATAGTAATAAAACTTGAAAAAGCTGGCCCAACTTGGCAAACTATTTTAAACAATTCTTATCCCATCATAATCACTCACAAATGAACCGAAACCGCATTCAGAATTACCCCCTTTCCTCTTCCAAGTAGAGCGGTTGCGTAAACTTTGATAAGACCACACGTGCGTGTAAATGGCTGCCTTACCTTCTTGAAATCGTAGATTACATCTCCCGAGTCTTTTTGGGGTGAAACTTTTGGCACGTGGAAAGTTTCTGTTTCCTTTTCTTCATCAATATCTACTTCCTCGTCGTAGTCTGTTCCGTTTTCGGACATCTTGAATGTAAATTTTGCCACGGAATGCTGCTGAAGAAAAAAAAAAAAGATCTAACGTTTTTTGCTTTCAGTGTTGTTTCAATTCTGTTAAAGTATTTTTCTCTTAAAGCACTTTGTTTAATAGACTGACGATTCAAACTCAGTTCAACGCTTTTACAGAGGAAAGGTCAGACAGAACAAGGGACTTGTAGCTGCTTAAGTCGATTCTTCAATAAAATGCTGCTTGGGACGTTATTGTAACATTCATTTCTAGTGCTGACTTCCTTTTAATTTAGTGGCTAACTACAAGAGGGGTAGTCGGGAACTGATGTAAATCTATTTAATCAATCATATTTTTAATCAACCTATTATTTTCTCACTACCCAACCTCATGGAATTTACAACGTACTATCGATATCACTTTTATAGTATTAATAGTTGAAATAATGGCTTGTTCTTTCCTTCCTTCCTTCCTTTCTGGGCAACTTGGTGTATTGTTGCTAAAACTGTATTAATAATAATAATAATTATTATTATTATTCTAGTATTATTGTTATCATTATCATTATTACTTTTATATTTAGCAGTTTAATAATGGGAAGCTCTTATTCTTTGGTAAGGTTTTCGGACAGAAAAATCAAAGAAATTGTTTTTTCGGTCTACAACACTATTGCACTTAGTCAACACGGTTTGAAGGTAATTGATAAGGGATACGAACCTTCAGTGATGCCACATTATGTCTCTGTATAAAATAATCAGTGCTATTCACAGAGCAAATACAGAATAAAGTGGGAATATAACTGAGTAATTTCGGCAAAACGTGTGTGGTTTCCTTGGACAAATTTCAAATTCGTTCCTACGGGCCTGAACCTTAGCTACGATCCTTCACTGATGTCATATTTCTGTAATTAATGCTACTCACAGACTGAATATAGAATAAAATGTGAAAAAACTTCGTCAAAAGTGTAAGGCCTTACCATCGAGGTATATTACATGTGTGATAGGGCGCTTATTTCACCTCATTGTCATGGCTCAAAAAAAACAATAGGCCATATTCACGATTACGTCTTTTTACTCCTAGGACCAGAATTCATGTCGTTTTTTCTTTCATATTTAAATGTGTTAATCCCATTGAGGTTTAAGTAACAAAAGCTCTAATTTGCACGAGAAAGCGCGACCCTGAAGGGTTCTGGTGGTAGTAGTAAAATGACGTCATCGTGCAAATGGCCTATTTCGGCGACTTCACCTGGGATAAGGCAATTCATTGTCTCTTTTTATCTGTTAGGGATATTTGAAGCAAAGTTTATTTTTTAACTCGTGTGCACAATTGCACAATTGGTTTTCGCACTCACCTTTTGAGGAGAGGAGGAAGCAGAAACGGTCAGAATCAAAAACACAGTGCACAAAATGAACAGTTTGAATTCCTGAGAAGCAAAAAGTATTAACAGTAAACAAAAAACTTTATTTGCGATAATTTCTTAGCGATACCCGATCCATAAAGCCCGTGACAGCGAAGCAATACCAAATATTTGTTAAGTATTCAAGCCCAAGAAACATGGCTACAAAAAAGTGACTCCTTCGGCTTTCCATATTAAAAGTAACAAATCTTCAACTCCGCTTGTAAGAATTTGGTGAGTCTTCCTTCTAAGAAATAGAAAATTCTTGTACCCTGAATTCTCCAAAAAACTGCTTCAAACTGTAGAATTACACATAAGAAATTCAGAAAAGCCAAGAAAAAAAGCACGAACGGAGGGCAAACGAGAATGAAGATTAAATGAAAAAAAATAACAGTCCGCTTTTTGCTGTCTCCATTCGTTTGAAGGTGGACTTTATAATGCTCAAGAATCATCTAAATCTGTTTTGTTACGATGATTTTGTTAATAAAAGACGTTTTTTGACCAGTTTGTGCTTCCGAGTTATATTAGTTGACGAAAACAGGCAAATAATGGGTTGACCTAGCCTTTTTAAGTTGCGACTTCAATTCAGAAAACTGCGCTTACCATTTTGATGGCGAGGCTTGAAGATCTCACAGCAAATTTCAGCTGTAAAATGGCAGGTTCTAACAGGTTCCTTCCCGAAGTTTCGTGTCACTGACTCAGTGAAACTACCTTTACTTTCACTGTTGCTTGCTTTTATACTCTCCGAAGAGTTTGTACGTGCTATCGGCCTCAAAATAAGGAGAAAGCATCCTAGCATACGCCTTCGTTGTTTGTGCAAGTGTTTTGAGTTATTTTCGAAGACCTTTTGCTGAAGCTCGACCCCTAAATGCGGATTAAAACTGATCTTGATCCAAGCTAAAATTTCATGATTCCTTTAATGTTCCTAGCAGAGAGCGATGTTTGGATTTACTCATGTGTCTTCCTTGTTTTGGGGTTTCACACAACAACAAGTCTTACCGTCCGTTTCAGCTTTTGGCAACCTGTGTGCACGTTTTTCCCACGTACTTGTTGTTTGATTAGACCCTAAGTTGGCGCTACACACAGAAATACGTGAGGACTCTCCGAATTAAAGTTTAGCTTGTACCAGCCACCGCTAACCTTTTATGACTTACGGAAGGTTTTCCCTACTTGCTAAATTACGCCGATTCTTCGGCAAAAAGGCTAACATTTCCTTTAGTATTAGCAAAGGCCATTACCAGGGTAACCACTAAATAATAGAACCTTTGATAGACAGTTAAACTAACCCATCCTGCGCCAATCTCGTATCCAGAGTCTTCTGACCCCTTGTGCGAGATTGTTCTTGCGCGTATAAGGCGTTGTCACTAAGTTTGAAACCACTGACCAGAAGGTATGAAAGAAATGTCACTTTTAGTAGGAATATGTTGTAAGGAAGATGCAATTTTTAATGTATACATCTCTCACTAAAGGCTACAAGGCTCGCAGTACTTCTTACTCAGGAAGACCAGCTCAACAATCAGTTTGTAACGCTGTCACAAGTTATTTTCAGACTCCAAAATCTGCGCAATCTGTCCTTCTGTTATAAAGCTGTCGCATCAATTGCTACCGCGTCAGCGTCAGCACTGTTGCGTAGCCTTCGAAATACAAGGATTTTTATGGGGGGGAACGATTGTTCCTATAACTGGCTACGAATGTGAAGGGATTGAAGTAAAAATCGGGCTAAACACAATATAAGTTTTGTGTTTCTTCTTTCCTGTGTGGTATTCGAACCGATTGATGGCCATATTGTAACTGGTTTGACATCTCTACAATCCTAGAATAATCTCTTTTTCCCCCATACAAATCCTTTTATTTTTACGCAACAATGTCGATGCTCATATTTCGAGTTTGGGCTAGCTGTGCAAGAACAGGCGCCGCAGAACTTCAAACCCGCCTAGCTGGCAGTTTCGTAGGGAAAAGGCGAACTGAGAAAAATGGGGAATGATCATCGCGGCTTATACTGACACAGTACGAAAACTGAAATAAACAATTGACCTTACAAACAAGAAAACACTTAAGGTGGATTTCCACTGTCACGTAATTTTTACGTGCCTGCGCAAGAAAATTTTACGCGCTTATCAAGGTCGCGCATAAACGTAAACGTTGAGGTTCGACTTTTACGTTTACGCGTGACTTTTCATCGGCATTATTGCCTCTATTTTATTCGAGCGCGTAAAATTTGCGCGGCAGTGAAATCCACCTTAACAGACTTTATTTTACTTCGAGTATAGCTTTGAACCTACGCAAATCATAATGAATGTTCGATAGAATAAGTTATTTTGTTCTGTAAAGAAAGAAAAGGCCTTTGAGATGGGGAAGTAGTGATAAGGGGCGTAGTTTGATCGCTGAGAGCCTCCGAGAAGGGGGGGAGAGGAAACTCTCGTATATTGCCTAAACGGGGATGAGTCACTGGTTAGGGAATTGTTTTTGTTCTCCCTGTCCTTAACAGAGTACATAATTTAGTGAGAGTAGAAAAAATTATTGATTATTGATTTGATTTGTTTGTACTTCAAGTATACAAAAGTAATGAATCCCGCCAGTACGCCAATTGGTGACTGGTACGGAGATTGCATGATATTTCGGAATAGTTCCCTCTCACTTAGCGAGGACTGCACTCTCTGAACAGCTTTATTTTGACCTTTTCTTCTGATAACCAGTTCTAAATTAGACCGTGGACAATTTCCTTTGTCATAACCACCTCAGTGACTATTTCACTGCATTACTTGCGTGAGCCAGTTCATGTGCTATGATGAGGTAGGTGTTTCAGCGCTGTTTTGAATTTTCCAAGACGTGTTTGCTGAAGCTCGATCGTTTATCTTCTAACTTTAATTTTATTTTTCGCACGTAGAGATCTGGTTTTCTAAAAATAGTGAGGCTTTTAAGAGATGGGATGATTAGCAATAAGCACCACCCCCAAACCCAAAGCCAGGAGTCGCCCTTCGTGACCAATCCGACATGGTTAAATCTAAGAGGGACTGGAGTTCCAGCCAACATAGTTCTTTTAAGAATTTATAGAGACATTTAAAATAGAAGTAGACCTAAAATTTCCCCTTGGGGGAAATACAGAACAATTGAACGGGGCTCCATCATATCCCCGTCTGACTGCAAAGTACGACTTTATTATAATAAACAATGCCAAAGTTTTTTCCTGATATTCCTATTTGCTCATGCTTTCCCAGGAGAACCTTGTGCTTTTAAGAGTCAAGTGCCTTGGATACATCGACCAAAGGCAAACCAGTGTGCTCCCCTCCATCTAAGCGCAAAATTGTTTAATTGGCCTACAACTTGTGTCCTACAACCTCGAGGGGGTGGGGTGGGGGGGCACTCAAGGAAAGGTTTGGTAAAGGTGAGTCGCCGAGGCCTTTAAACCCTGACCTAGTGTTTAAGGCTGAGCATGACTGAGAAGCACACTTTTTTTTGAACAGTTCACGGAAAAAGAGCAACAACAGACCAGCGAAATTTAATTGATACGGTTAAGTTTAATTTTGATTCTTAAAACAGAGTACAGGAAAAATTCTATTGCGATTGTATCACTGCTAGATTTGGCTCCACCAGAGTCTGTGTGCACAACAGAACCCTGCGAATACCTTAAGAAACTGTCCCGCAGGTTTACTCCCTGTAATGGCCTATACGAGGGGGCTCCGTCCGAAAGGGGTACTTTTTTCAGGCCTTAGGTACACTGTATATGAAAGGGAAAGGATTAGTTGAAGTACATAAAAGGGTACGGAAATCTGTGTTTCCGTCTGTAAAAAGACCTTCAAGGGCAAACAGAAGTATTTATGGCTGCGAAAAAGTCAATAAATATCCTGATTTTATGATTTTCTGATGTGTTAATGACATTTCATTTTCAGCAGTTAAAAGCTCTGCAACGTTCTAAACTATTGTGGGTATGTAAAAGGGGTACAGTACCCTTTGTAAATAGAAGGTGTTCGAAAGGGGTACCTTTTCAGTCAAAAATGGTATATAAAAGGGTAAGGGTAGGCCATTAACCTTCAAAGCCAAGAAAAGTTGCCCCTTACGATTAGTCTGCTACACGGCCGTATTTAGTGTCGTCACGCAACGCTCCTCTCAGCACGCGTGACGACACTAAAAACGACTGTGTATCGCCCAATGTAAGGGAATACGGATTCTGGGAAAATTTTGCTTCTGGAATCCGGAACCTCGGCTTTGAAATCCGGAATACAGCTCAAGGAATCCAGAATTCCTCGAACAAGTGGAAGCCAGAAATCAAATTCCACTGACAAAGATCCGGAATCCAGCACCTGGAATCCGCAAATCCACGGCGTGGCCCCTGTCTTGGATTCCCTAACGTGTCTTACGTGAGGCAATGCGTAGCAGACTACTTTGCGAGGAGATTAGGTTATACTGCATTTAGTGTGAGAGGTATTTGATACGCTCCACTGCGGACACCTTCATACCGGGGGGGGGACTCGCATATGAAAGGGGTGGGGATGTTCGTCGTCTCGCTTAGGGGTGTAAATTTCGGATTTTGGTCTCATTTAGGGTGTTCTGGGAAAAACGCCATCATATTTAGCCGTGAAGGTCTCATTTAGGGTTGCACACGAAAAAATATAAAAATATATATTTGATATGTATATTTTTAATTCGTTTTATTTACTCCATTCATATAATCCAAGTTTTCTCATTTGTCTGTGTTTAGGAGTTTAATTCAAAATTTCCGACGAGCATCCCCACCCCTTTCATATGCGGAGTCCCCCCCCCCGGGCCTTCATAAAGGATGATAATAGCTGTTAAGATATTGATCAACTCATTGACTACTTTCTTTCTACGACGAAGATTTTATTCTCTTTTACTCACATGTTACAAATGAAATCACACCTAATCATCTCGCAAAAAAATGCATATTTATGTTTCTCAAAAGGTTTGTTCCCTCTACCAGAATGATAAACACATACTGTACTTGTCATTTCTGTTAATTTATCCATTTTTGGAGCAAAAATCTAGTGATTGTCTATAGTTTCACTCGTCACATTAAACTCAATCGACTTTCACTAATATTTTAATAACTTCTTGACCAAACCATTACGCACCATTACATGCAGTTAAAACTAAACCATTCGCTTTTACTGATTTAAACACAATTGAACATTTCCTTTATTTACTGAACATTATTTCTCTCTAGCTCTAAATGTTGTTCTTAGCTAATTCATAAAAGCAAACGAAAAAAGATTGTTCGCCTTTCGAGCGAAAGCCGAAAACTGTAAAGGAGACGCTCGTAATGAATACATCGATAGACCACATACAGGTATTAATACTAACTGAGTTTTGCGTTAACTCTGAACGTGTCATCACCAGACATAAAACCGCTTTTCTGAATCCCGGTGTAAGCAAGGAGCTCCGCAATGTTCCCAGTTTACAGCGAAAAACAGCGCTAGGAGGTGATAGAATATACATGTTGTAGTCTGAAATGTCATCCGTCTCTTCGTCCCATACCCCAACGGGCGGCAAAGCGAGAGAGACGTCTGAATTCCCAGCAGCGACGACTTACGTCGCGAAAGTCTGTGACATTAGGAGGCGACATTACAACGCTAGAAATTCAGACGTCTCTCTCAACTTGCCGCCCGTTTGGGAATGGTGCGAAGGACGGTTGACATTTCAGACTATACCCTGAGGGCCGCGAAGGTAGTAGGCTAGTTTCAAATTGTTCAAGTTGGTATTTGGCTCCGTGGCTGACAGAGGGTATAAAACAAATGAAATTCGCATAAAGATTCAGGGAGCTAACTTTAAAAATTGGAAACTGACCTATTTTATTCATATTAAAAACATGGAAGAGAGATGAAGCGAGTTTATTCATTTAAACACGTGTATCCGCGTGTGTAAAACTATCGCCAAACAGATGAAAAATTTTTAGGGGATAAAAATATGCCTATATCTACCGTTTAAATACTAAAATACGTTTAACAATGTTATGTTTAAGTGTTTTTGAACTATATTCTCGTTGGGTGCCCCTGAACACTTCACAAAGCTAAATTTGCGCCAGCTCAGTCAATACAAAATGCGGCGGATCTTGAATTTATTTACAAGAGAGGTTTAAAATGCATGACCTCCAAGATTGGGGAGTATCTAGTGGGGTCTGAAGGTATGAGTGTCAGGAAAATTCTTTAAAATTTCCAGAATTTTGAGGGGTAGTTCACAGCGTTTTAATTGCTGAAATTCCAGCAATTTTTAGGCAATTTTGCAGCTTTTAGTCGGGTTTTGGTTATAGCTGTAGGTTTTAGACGCTAGTGGATTTAGGTTTGGGAGTTTGACCGAACCACCACTAGATATCCCCAGACAAAAAAAATTACAGAATGCCCTTTTCCACGTGTAAATAACCTTGAAGGATTCAATGTTTGACTTTGCTCTAATTTAAAAACCTTGGATTCACTGTCAACTACATGTACTGGCTATTTGTCGCAGCAAATAGTTTGGCTTCCTGTTGAACTGTTACTTAATCTTATAAACCTCGCTCTGTCATAATAGACTTTTAGAAACCATACTGGTTATGATGCCTAGCGGTACTTTTTTGCCTACACTTATAAAGAGTTTCCTACTTCACCCTCAAGGGGACACAAAACTAATTTATCAACCCCATGCCCAACCATTTGCTAGTCTTCCTGCTTATGAATAATTACCTCCTTAAGCGTATCAACAATGGTGGAAAAAGACTCCTCATTCCGACTCATACCTTTATCAACAGCGTTTTATGAGCTCCTTGTTCCAGCTAATTGCACTCCATGACCCCAGTCTAAAAAGAGTGTTACGTGAACCACAACCAAGGAAAAACGCACAAAACTGATAGTAAACACGAGCACTCATCCTCAAAACTGTCAGGTCGGCAGACACAGTCGCACACCAATGGATATAGGGGTGTACTTGTAAGGAGAGTGTCATAGGCAAACTAACATCAATTAAGGTCCCATGTCCGGACACTCCTGCTCTGATTACCCAGAGTATAGAGAGGTATCCGTGGATGCTCGCTGTGGCTTCGGCATAAGGCCTAATCTGAAGAAGAAATCAACAGTCATTAATTAAAGAAGAAACTCGTTGCCAAAGATTTTGTCTCGGTCAAAAAATCACAAAAGCAATGAGATGATCAAATGACTTTGATTATCGTTAACTTGACTTCTCGCCCGTCAATTTTGAGGGCACCTACTGAGTAGCCTAAAATACTCGGATGGAATCCCCCCACATTGACTGGTAAAGTACAGTGTTCTAACGTTCGAGTTACCAATAGCCGTAACAACCACCTACTTTTGGGAGTATTCAGAGCAAAACTGGCTCCTGCCAAGTAGGTCATGAAGTCTAGAAATGGGGCCGCTATTAATTTATGTGGTACGAATATGCTGCTCTAAATCGGCCACAGTCGTGGAATAGTCGTGTGATCGGCAGTTTTGTTTTAGTATTTCAAGATAAATTTTCAATGAGAGGGATAAAGACCCCTGTTAACTGTTCGTCTTTCTAAAAATAGGGTCCACTAAGCTAAGAGTAGTCTAGTACTAGAAGATAAATAGATAATTAACCTGTACAGCAGACTTAATGTTGGAACTGCTCAGTGATCTAGGATACGATACTGAAGAACCGGCTTTAAAGTCTAGGCTGAAGGATGCCCCAAGGCTGAAGGCAAATACAGGAATTGCAATGTCCTGAGAAGAGAAAAAATAAATGCAAATGCCTTAAGCACACTTAGTAATTCTCGTCTAGTAATAAAGGACTTCCATTGCAGCAAAAACCCGCGACTAAGAACTTGCATTTTCCCAAGTTAGCCTAAACAGGTTTATGGTAATTAGCACAAGTTTAGGCTACGTAGGTTCTTAAATGGGTTCTTATTTTCTGAAGAAAAAAGTACATAAAAGCTAATAGTATTTAGTGGTATATTCAGCTTATTCCTTATATAAAATCTACATACCATTGTATTGCAGTTGGAGTGATAAGACACCTATGTCTCCAAAGAGGGTTCTGGATGTTGACTTATCTTATTCGCCCAAGTGTGGATTTTCAGTTTTTAATAAGTATTTTAGAAAATAAGAACCCGTTTCAAATTTTAGGGTAAACGGGTTCTTGTTTACAGGGGACCTAACTTGCAAATTTTAGCCTAACAGGCCTAAAAAACCAGGTTCTTAGTCGAGGGTCTTTACTGTGTTTGATTCAATTGAGTTCTTGGCTACTACTTTATAAAATTACAGTCCCTTTCTACTTACTGTCTTTACTAAAACATTTTCTATACCTGGCAGAAATGTCAGGTACAGTACCTGTTGTAAACGAGATAGGACTGAGGGATAGCTCGAGAACACGTGATGTAAATAAGTGTTAGATCATGGAATGTAATTGGGTCATTCAAATTCATTCAGGATTCATTTCTATAGTTCAGAACAGTTTACAGTATCTCGGAAAGGATCTCAAGTTCATAGGAGTCAAACTTGTACAGAAAGTTATCGAATGTCAGAATTAAAGAGTATGGCCATTTTCTACAGTACCGAACGACGGGTAGTTTTCTCCTCGTGGAAGACGGTAAGACTACTAACACCAGAGGGGCCTATAATAAAAGTTTTACAAGTTTTCAGACTAAAACAATGGCTACACTTTTAAATTACCCTTGTATAAAAAATTATGGGACGAGACAGACTGTGGCTATTATATATAGATCAGTGTCTCTAACAAGGTCAGCTGACTTAGATGTGGAGAACGGCAGCTTTGTGGCGGCGGCTTTTTTAGACTTTTAGAAAGCCTCTGACAGTGTGTCACATCAAGAGAATTACTCTCTTGGTCACACGAGATCTTCTTGCAAAAACTTGAAAGCGGCTTTCGAATCCGAGGAGGTTTACTAGAATGGTTAAATATTTGAGAGGAAGAATGCAATTATGTTATTTCAGTGTTACAACTGGCCTGATCCAACACTCAGGATTTATTAGACCATAATTGGAGCAATCTGATTGGTTGGTTTTAGATATTGCATGGGCCCTTTATCTTAGTAACCTCATTTTCAGGCAGAGGCGAGGCAACCTAGTTACTTTGGCATTGGTGAACACAAGGAAATGGCGATATACTTCACGGCTACCCGAAGACAAAATAATCAAATTACTGACTAAACTGAAAACTGAACGGAACAAATGCGAGAATACGCATAAAAGATTGCTCCATAGAGGTCATCTACTGTAGCTCATAACGTACCAGGGACCATTGTTTGCTTCCACCCTGATAGTGAAACAATAGAATTTTAATCACCTTTATATTTTCATCCGGCGTATTTGTTTATCTTTAATTTTGTCTAGTATTGAACCACAGTAAGGAGAGCTTTTTCCTCTTTTAACCAGTGTAAAGAATCGTCTATTCTTAATGAAAGTATACCAAAAAAGAGAACTTGCACTTACAAAGGTTTTGCTCCAAGAATATGACCAACTAAGAGGTTTTTGCTGCTTCAATTGACTCCATGAGTACGCCCGGTCAAATAATGTTATGTGAAATCTTCCAATGTAAAGAACGACAGTCTCCCTCACTTTGACGCCTTCTTGTACCTTATACCTTGCGGTGACCTTTACCATTATCCCGAGTACCTTCTTTTGAAACAGTGTGGAAGAGTAATCGAAAGCTAAGTTCGTCGATCGTCGGGATCGTGTGAGAAGAATGCTCGAAGAGTTGGTTGAATTGTACGTTTGGTTCGCCAAAGGAGTCTCCGATGGTGATAGGGTTAAATTAGAAACCGCACGGCCTGTTTGCACTTTTCGTGTTTCCTTAACAGAAAAAGTGCTCTTAGACTTAGGAAGAGAAAGGCTCACGAAAAGGTGGACTTTAACTCTTTCGGATTCCGCCTGTTCGAAGTAGTTTGGTAATTCAATGAGGGTAACCAGGCTTGTCATAGCTACTTTCAAAGATCTAACATCAGAACTGCTATTACTATGAATTGGTTCCCCGAAATTCAACTCTTCTGAAAAATAAGCACGGCTCTCGGTGATCATTCCATTGCTCTTGTTAATAAACGCCGAATCGGAATATTTCAAATCAAAATCAATTTCGGAGGACAAGTTAACAAGATCTGCGCGGTCAAAATGATTCCTGATAAGAATTATGTTCTTGTCTGATGTGACTGCCTTTCGGTGCATTTTAACAGAGGAAGGAAGCAAAGGAGATTCTTCATGATCGGGTGAATTCGAATCTGCCGCCTTCTGCCCGTCAACATCTTCGTACAGGTTTCGTTGCACGGCTGGGAGTAGTTGCTCTAAGATGCTGTATACTTCACGGAGAAGATCGGGATGAATGTGTGGAGGCCCGAAAACTTCAAAGGACTCGCTGGTTTTGTTTCTTGGGGGGCTTGTTGGCCTAAAATCAAAAATGAGTAACAAGTCGGCCAAGGAGAAAGCAAAGGAGTGTGAACCATTATTGGTATTTGAAAGGACAGTTATCACTTTAGATTGTTTCAGGCAGCTTTCTGGGCGATTCAGCCGAACGTAGAAAATGGTTAAGGGGTTTTCTCACCAAACATGAAATTCACTAAGAACATCAATTGAAGATTCCACCCCGTGGATTCCGGATTCCAGGTACTGGATCCCAGTCTTTGTCAGTGGAACTTGGATTCTGGATTCCAATCGTTAGTTGGATCCGGATTCCAAAGCCCAGGATTCCGGATTCCACAAACAATTTCCCTGATTCCGAAATCCGGATTCCCCTATAACACAACACGCACACAAGTGCCATGTTTTAGGACCCAGCATTCTATAATGACTCAGTGATTTTACATGACCACGTGAAACACTAATGTATGCTAAATTATTCTAATTAACATAATCATGACAAGGAGAATCACAGTTGTATCACCGTCGATAGAAAAAATTTCGTAACTCCATATCCTAAAAGCCGTCGAAGATTTCTTTTTACCTTTTGTGGTGTTGTTCTGAACGATTTAAAAAATTGAGTCTGCGGATAAAAAAAATTAGCGATGAATAAAAAAGTTGATTTGGTAAGTTTTAACTAGTTTTACCTTGAGGTAATCTGGAGTCGAACCAGAAAATAGTCTGTCATTATGTTTTGCTCCTTCATGGCCGGATTTTCACCCAATTGGGACAACTTGAATTTCGTTAGGAACCAGTACTCCTCGGAAGTCTTGTTGAGAACCCGGATGCCCACTATCGCACGGATGGTTACTGCAAAAAAGTACGAAGAAAAAAGTATTATGCCATACTACAAAAGTGATATCAGCATTATAAAGATATCAAAACGTGTTATTTGCATGGCTAATAAATTTCTGATTTGCATGACAACGTTACTGCAATTAGGCTAATGCCAATAAGGCCAATTGATGCATTTTTTTAATTCAAGATATTTATGACTCTAATTACAAAGAACTAATTAAAAAGAAACTAATTACAAAATTCTAAACAACCGCAATAACAGACATACTTACTGAACGACCTACATTTCACAATTATATATATTACAGCCAAAAAACAGCCGCGCAATTGCTGAATGTGGCTTATTTTACAAAGAGTTAATTAATACTTAATTATGTAGATAAAAGAGAAAATAACACTTATTTACAGTACACCCTGAAATAAAACAAAAACCAAAACAAAAAAAAAGTATCTAATAAAAGATTACAAATTTTAATTACATGCACACGAACTTAATTAAAGGGGAGAAATGTCTTTTGGCCATTTCCATAAAAGGTTTCTAATTTATTATTCTTGGTGGAAATATATTTTTCAACTTGGTATTTAATTCTTACTTTAAATTTGAAACCTTCAATGTTTGGAAGTGCCCGTTTCTTTCTGCAATCCCATAAATATAGTTTACCAATTAAAATCAGATAATTTAACAAGGGGTAGCCAATTGATGCATGACGAGGATGATGATAACGATAATGAAGATGGTGATGTTATCATGATAACGACCCATTCAAAACACGCCATTGGGTCGCCTCAGATCAAGAGAGAATAATTTATATTATTCATTTAAAATATTTCCCCTTTACCGGTTGGTTAAAACCACACGCACAACTCACCATAACTAGCTGCTGTTGACCAAATTTGGAAAGAATTTTGTCATATTGAACGGATGACGTGAAAATGACGTCAAAAGTGCAGCCGGTTGCAGGTTATTGAACCGTTAACCGAGAAACCTGGGGACGAGGTTGAGTTGTTTTGGTAGTTAGAACAAAATGGCAGAACTGTCGGCGGAACATTTTACTCGTTTCACGGCGAAATATTGTCTAAAAACATCGCAAAAACAGCAAGAAGTAAACTCGACGGGCAACATCTGCTATTTGGAGTATATTTGCAGACCTGAGCCGACCTTAATCTCCTAAACTTCCCGATAAAGATGCATTATCGATATGAACTTACATCGACCGAGGTTAGCATGTCTTAGCTCGTTTTTAACTTGGAATTATTTTAAAGGAATAATAAAACAATTATTGAATTCGGCTTTCGTAGGATATGAAGAATTCTGCAGATCTCGGAGGGTGTTATCCACCGAGGCCGAAGGCCTAGGTAAACAAAACTTTATTATTTATATAGCGCAAAATTCATGGGTATATGAACTAATGCGTTGCGGTGGATAACACCCTCCTTGATCTCGAGAATTCTTCACATCCTACTCAGCCTCATTCAATAATTGCTAAATCTATAATCACTTTTCGTTTAAGAAACACTTGAAGTTCATAGCGGAGTTCTTGCGCGCGCGAAGCGCGCCAGCGGAGCACCATGAGTGAGTAAATCTACCCATCCCAGAAAATTTGGTAATCACGTGACCGTACACCGCCTCAGACCGTCCGACCGAACCACAAGCATACCAATTTTTACTCTCACACTTTCTAGCTACTTGGGGAGCCCAGGAGAAAGCTGATTGCACATTAATATTGTGATCAATTGACAGCTGTCAAAACAAGGTATCCGTTGAACAGTATCACCTGACAGTATCGCGGGCTCAGGTGTCGACCCATCCATGTCGAGTATTTTTTTGAAGTCATCCGCTGAGAAGTTTCTAGTTTTTAAATGATCTTAGGCTCAAGTTTATTTTTTAATATAAATTCATATGAAATATTTTGTGTTTATGTCACTATAGCCCCGCACTATTAAAATTTTGATTTCAAACTGACCTCAGACGCGAAAATTCAGCCAGTTATTTAAAAATACAGGCAGGGAAGACAGATGCTCTTCACTTTTCTCACCATAGTCACGCGTTGGTCACGCTCTGCGTCCAATTTTTATGCTCTGATTGGTCAAAATTTGACAGGTAAGTTCATGCGGAAAATTTATACAGCATGTTGAACCTTGTTTACTTTAACAATTGAAGCTGACAGACTTTTGTGTCAACTTGTGGTGCTTTTAACTGTCTTTTTCCACTGGATGTACAAAATGAAATACAGCTGCTATCAAGAGTCTTCTGTTGCCATTGCTGCTTTGTTTATTGAATTTTTGGTTGGGAAATGCTTCGCTTGTCAAAGTCGGAATTTCGGATGGCATCGTTTTCGTTTTTTACCTTGCTGGATGCGTGAGAGGGTTGAAAAGTCTCAAGCGATACTGGCCTTACTTGATCGCTTTCAGGAGCTGTATGTCGAATGGTAGCCTGAGCAATTATTCAGGGGCACCCAACGACAATTTTTGGAAAATTATCTGTTCCGAAGACGATTTGAGGTCTAGAATTTTCGGACCATTTTCTGAAAAATTTCTTGCTTGCCTGCCTCTCCTAGGATTTTCGAACTTCAAAAAAATCGTATAATTGCCCATTTTTAACGGATTTTTACCCTAAAAAGGTCACCTAGAATTTTCGGGAGCCTTTTTTCTGGCTGAAATTTTCGAAAAGGTAAATTTTGATCCCTTTCGGATCACTATACTTTCAGCTAGGAAATCCGAACAGATGAAAAATTTTTAGGGGATAAAAATAAGCCTTTATCCACCCTTTAAATACTAAAGTACGTTCAACAATGCTATGTTTATGTGGTTTTGAACTATATTCTCGTTGGGTGCCCCTGATTATTGTATTTGATCTGACCTAGGATGAGGTTTGATCGACTTACAGAACTTTAACTAGCCTTTAGTCGATATTTTCTCACCGCAAATAGAAAGAAAAAACGTTCCGAAGAATATTTAGTTATAATTTTGGCTGTAGAAAGAAAGCTTTGAGCGGTTTTCTTGCCTCGAGCTCATATTTGAAGATCTTTGAAAACAGCAAACGCCGGAAAGCCAAAACATAAACTTATAACTTTTAAGCTTAAAGTCTCTGGATTTTTAGAGACACTTTTATACTTGTCTTCGTATATGAAAATTGTTGTCTCTGTAAGTGTTTCACCGAATTATGTTTCTTTTATCGATTTTTAGTTTGTCTCTCTTGCAATTTTAATCGCTTTGCCGTTTGTTTTCAGTCGTTCGTGAACATCGCTTGCAGGAGTACTCAAAATGCCGCGCGTATCAAACGCTTTTTAAGATTATATATCGGTATAAAACAATTAAATAAAAAATAAACACAATAACTTCTTTATTATGTTGAAGCGTAACTCTATTAACGTTCACTGCAAATTTGGCGCTTGTTAAAAGTGAGAACCGCCTTGCCATATGGGTGATTTTGGAAATTTTTTGAACGCCGGCTTTGCTAAAAGCCCACGCGTGCTTCGATGGCCCTGAATATTGAATGAGTGCAATTTGTCTTGAATAACTGTGAAATACTGCATTCTGTCTGAGGTCTGTATGATAAAAACAGCGCCTCATAGTACTGTTTTACCTCAGATATGATGCATAAGAAAAATATAAAAGGTTAGTTTACACGCACCCAGATTTGTTGGCAGATTTTGTAAAGTAAACTTGTTGAACGCAAAAAATTCGGCCCGATTTGCTTTCCAAGAATCAGTTTTCCTGGCCTAATTTACTGTGATCAAGGGCCGGGGTCTATAAATGTGATCGAAGTTGATTGCTATTTTTTGGGTGTACATATAAGGCTATCAACTCGATGTAAGATTTGTTTCACACTAAAATCACTTAATAGCCTTTCCCTCAAAAGTCACATGAATGTGCTCTTAAGTTAACTAATTTGTCGATCACAAGTTTATTGTTTGACTTAAATTATAAATTTATTAATGGGAGCTTCCCTTTTAGCCCTGGCTAAATCTATATATTATGCTATTCATGAAGAATTTAATTAAAGAAGAAATATTAATATCACTTTCACTGTAGACAGATGTACACACTATAAATGTAAAAGATTTACCGTTTTCCACATCGCTTCCTTGCAGCTGGATGTGTTGGTCCACTTGATACGTAAGCGTTTCGCCCTCATTCAGATCAACTTCTACCAAACGAGCTGACTTCTGTTTTGTGGTCAGCGAAAAATACACAGCCAAAGACACCATCGCACCTAGCAGCAAAACTGCTGTGACAGCACCGCCAATAACGAGCTTAGACTTCCAACGAGGCCGTTTCGACACCAGATTCTTGGTATCGTTCAATTGCAATTCTGGTTTAAGGTCCATGACAAAAATTGACTGGATATAGTGTGATTATCACTCTAGCAAATGCGGGAATGAAGTGTTGAAGCACTGATCACAACGTACCTTAAATACTCTGCCTGCTGAAAGGTGCATAAAGCCGCTCTTTATCATTGCCTCTGTTATGCAAAACATTCATTTAAGTTCCAACCTGTTGCGCTGTGCGCTGAAGCTATTGTTCAGAATTTTCAAATCCAAAAATAGACAGTCCAAAAGTCTGAAAACTTTTCAGACTTTAACACTGTCTAGTTTTGGATTTGAAAATTCTGAACAATAGCTTCAGCGCACAGCGCAACAGGTTGGAACGGAGCTGCAACGGTTGCAGCACCAAAACAACCAAAGCCCAAACGTCAGAATTCTGCTATGCTGAAGCTACTTCATTGTATTTTCAATGAAAAAATGCTAGTTAAGACAGTCAACCAAGAGTTGCGGCAGTAACTAACTGCCCAAGCTCAAACTTACTAGACCTTACTTCATTTCCGGTCAAATCTGTTTACATAATCGGAACGACGACCGATATTGAGACTGTTAATTAAACTGGTCAGCCTTCGTTTTTGCAGTACTCTAAAACATCAGAAAAGCAATCTAATTGTCAAATGACTTTGACTTGTCCTTAAAACCTCAGTTTCCATTGACTCGACTTTTTTGTGGTTTTGAGATGTTAACTCAAAACGTAAGGATGTAGACGGCAACAGGTTGAATTTCTGGTAAAAGCTAAAAAGGAATGCATCGAGTAGCGAAACCCTACTGAGATAGAGACGTCAGTCTGGTCAGTGTGGCACCAGGACTATAAATAACCTGCGGGGGGTGCATATTAGCTCATATTTGGCACAGTTGGGCGCAACAATGGGGCGCAGTTGGTCAAAGCACTACAACTCAATTATATGTAGTGAAGAACTAATCAACGTAGACTTTGGCATGATATTTTTTTTCTTTTAATTTAACAAAAACTACTTGTATTAACTGAGATCTTAAAAAATACTAGACATACGTGTATGGCAGAAACTCGTGAAGCTCGGTGGGAGGTCCGTAAAATGTCAGGGATGGAATGGGAGAGAGAATTGGAGTAAATTGTGTAGGTTGGGAGGCGGGTTTCAACACAGGCTCTAATATTGGAATGTGAGATGTAGTTAATCTCATTTTGATTACAGTATTGAACCCAGCACTCTGGGATTTAAATGGGGTCGGTGTTGTTAAGGAAGGGTAGCCAATGTTTCATAGATCCCGTGTTCACCCCATTTGACCCTGCTACATGTGTAATCATATGTCAACAGAAAAGGGGTGTGATAGCAAATAACTGCGGGTGAATATGCAGCTAACCCATGCCATCTTTAATAATAAGTGTAATAATAATTACTAGTGAAGTGTGTCATTATTAGTTAGTGGATGAAATGGCAGGAGGTAATGCTGCAGTGAAAATAACAAGTAAATGCAGGTAATTGGCGAAAAATATTTATTGCTAAGTGAACTACAGCAATAAGAGTATTTGCACTTGTTATAGTACATAATCCAAAGATGCCAACCTCTGGAATTCTAAAATCTGGGGACTCTTTCTTTTGCATTACCCCCTCCAAATATCAACGATTAACCCCCCTGCCCCCTCCCCATAAGCACAATTCGATCCAGTCTGTAATCAGCTTACATGAGGTACAGAATATCACAATTACAATAGCTTTAATTTATGATTGTATAAAATGGCGAAAAAATCTTTGTCAGTGATGAAATACGTAGGAAAATGCCCCAGAAAGCCACCTTTGACTCAAAGCAAATTCGAATTTGGGATACACTCCAAATTAAAGCACAGAAAAGCTCATCACTCGTTTTTATCCGGGAGATTTGGTGACCCATACGGGAGACCGGGAGATTGCTGTCGTATCTGGGAGAGTTGGCATGTATGATAATCACACTTGACATTAAGGTGCAAACATAATCACTTACACTAAAATAGAAATTAGATGTAGCAATGGTATTAAAGATGCAGTTGAGGAGAATTGTGAAAGTGATCATGACTCATGATTATTGAATATGGGTACCCTCGTTAGCACTTAATTATCCCTGTAAAGAGTACCAAATTATTTATGAAAGTGTTCACAGTTATTTGTGTACATGCACGAGAAACAAATACCCATACAAGAGTGAATTTGTTTGAAATGTCCACGTAAAAGTCAGGTTGAAGGTGATCAGTTTCTCAATTCTCAACGTGCATGGGCTTGTTGAAACATGGTTGCCAGAGGAATAGTTTTTGAAATTCCCAGACTAACAGTCAAATGTACACTTTCCCTGACCAAATGAATTGACAATTTGTCCAGATATCAATGGATTCCAAATTCCACTCAAAACCTCGTGTACTCAGGACACAGATGACGTAAAGCAAAAGACTTCTTTGTCTTCTGTTCAAGGAAAATCTGCATGGTATTGTTTCATTGTTCTCTTGTTTCACGTCATCTGTGTCTGGTACACAAAATAAATGCCCAAACTCATCACAACCATCCTCGCCACCCATTTATTACATGAATTTATCGTGAATGTTAATTACAGAATGGATTGATCTCGTAGGAAACCCTACATCTGCTTGTCGTTTAATTTCTGGAAACAATATTCTGCCAATGGAACATATTTAACCTCGGTGAACATACAGAAATATGTCATCTCCCTCTGACCTCTTTGAAAGAGTTCAATTTTCCCTGAATTATACTGAAATTCCCTGACTTGTTAAGTTGTCCCTTACGGGTAAAAGAATTAATTTTCCTGGTATGGTAACAGATGTTACACACTAATATTGTGAGGAGATTCGAAATACAGATGTTCTTTTCGAATTATATTGAATACGATGTAAAATAGGAGGCCAGCAATAATAAGGTAGTTTGTTCTTAAACACTGGAAGTATTCCTGTTGAGCAGCAACGCATCGGAATTACATGTAGTTTACAGTTCTGTGAAAGAAATACATATACATTGTACACCCCGTAAAAGAAACCGGTATTGACCACATAAGAGAGTTAGTCACTAGTCAGCCACTAGCCACTCCCTTACCTCCTCCCCCCCCCCCCCCACCCCCCACCACTTGCAAAAAAAGTTCCGCCGTCTTCGTATAACCTAACGGTGGCATAAATCTCGCTTAGGGTACGAGAGGTCCCGGGTTGGACTTTCGGACAGATCACAACTTTTCTGTCTGTGATAGGATTTACTCCTGCAACCTTTTTTTGGCTTACAAACACTGTTGGTTTACCTTAAAAGAAGAGACATTGATTAGAATGGGATATTCAAATTTTCTGTTAGTACGTTAATTTTTGGTAATAGGCATCGTCGAAATATTGACAAAAATAGGCTTTCCCAAAATCTTTATATTTCCTTTTCTCTACAGTGCCGAATCCAGACCTTGAGATAAGGGGAGGGAGGGGGAGCCGGTCTCCAAAAAAAATTTTTCGCCCCTTTGGGTCTCAGTTTGGTCTAAAAATAAGGGGGGCGCCCCCCCGACCCCTCCCCTGGATCCGCCACTTCCCTATCACATCTTCAAAAGACCCTTCCACCGTTTTTGTCAAGTTTTGAAAAAGACCAGTCAGCGAATATCCAAAAAAATAAAACGAATAAATAAATAAATAGTTTGCGAATATCCATTGGTACTGCTGAAAAGAGCGCCTTAAAATTTGGAAACTTGCCATGTTTAAAGATGATATCGTTTAATAGCGCCAAAGCGAGAGAAGGTAGTGCTCCACAAAGTCGAAAAATTTTATGGACGATTGTATAATTATAGCCTTTAATTTGATTTAAGATTTATAACATAAATAATGTAAGTAATACCATGTACTCAAGTGGGAATACTGAAATAAAGTTGTTGTTGTTGTTTTACGGTGGGGGGCTAAAAATATGTCCGCCGCCCCCCACCTCCATTTTTGATACAAACGTCTGTCGGCGACTTTGCTGAGCTATATCTTCGTTTAGGTTTCAACAATTCACTTTACATATAGGCATCTTTACGATTTTAAGGCGTTTTTTTAGCAGTGTTGACGGATTTTTGCCAACTTGTACCAGTCAAAAGTTGGAAAACCGTGGAAGGACCTACTGTCCTGATGTTCTCCCCTTGAAAGGCGCTGTGATCACAATGACTTATTTCGAGCGCACGCTTTGCAATGTAAGACGCGTATTTAGCATCAACATTATAAGAGCTATCGGATCACGTCAATTCTTAACCAGTATTTAGTCTTTTCCTTTCTTTTCAGTTAACGAACATAAGAGCATACCACCGGCGAAGGCATAGTTCAGACTGTCAACCAAAAGCCCTCCAAAGAATGTAAAACACGACAGTAAAACCATCGTTTCCAGGGGATTTGATTTCTTGAAAGGTCTGCAATACATTCAAGCACTCTCCATATTCTACGATACCTTCGCAAACGTTACTCTATTTGCTCTGTCTGCACAATTACATATACTACTATCACAAAAATTAAACGGTACAGGGGCAACCGATTGATGTGTTCCTCAAAATATCTGTTCTTCGGGCAAATTTTTGCTGGCCTGGAGATTTGGACAAAATAATATGTCCTTGGAAATTGGAAAATTGTGGGTGTCTGAGGTGCTAGCTGCTGTGCACTATCTGTCAGAAACCTCTTAGCCCTCCCCTTCCCCTGAAGGGCTGAATTTTGCCCTATGACGTACGTCTGCCGGAAAACTTCCCAGTAAGTCAAGTTGCAGGCTGAAGGTGCACCTTGCTGGCTGGGAACCTCTTCATCAGTCTGGCTGGCAGTGAGGAACAGATAAATTTTTCCCTGCAGTCTCCCAAAATGCTGTTGTTTTTAGGTCTTTTTCTCAAAATTTTCTGTTTTTTGTTTTTCTGACCTAAAATAATTTTTTTTAGTTACAGAACCG